GAAAGGCCATCGCGGAAGCAGCAGCGTGCATGGAGAAGGTGAGGCGGGGAATAGGACGACGATGAAAGTGGCGGGAGGAGACAGAAGACTGCCGCGTTTTTCTAGTGCGAGCTAAACCCGCAGCGCTGCCTGCGCCATGTCGTCGCAGAGTTCCACATGATAAAACTTGTTTAGAGTGCAAGGAACGAGCGAGGCGTAGCTCGCCCGCTAGCTTCTCCGCCTCCTTCCCGCACATTTCAGCGCGGGAGCTGAACGCTCGCAGGCGCGCCGCCAGGTCTTCGGGCGGCCCGCGGGAAAGAAACTCAAGGCCGGGGTCGGGTATCATCAATCGGTTGTCCATCGTCCAAAGTTGCACTGGCGACGTACTTGTTGAACGCGGAGCGAGCAGCATCACGCGCGTGCCTGAACGCCACGCAGGTACAGCGCACGCGCGATTGGGACTTCAGGTCGATCACGCGCGTCTCCACCAGGCTTGGCAACACCGCGCGACTGAGGATCTCACTGCGGTCTGCCATGCTGCTGTCCGCGAATGCAATGCGCTGCCTGCAAGTAAGGCGGCGGCGTCCACTTGTCTCAGAAGATGTTCCCGCGGGCCCGAAGGGCGACCGCCAGCTCGAACCGCGGCGCCGGCAGGCCAGATAAGGATCATGCAACAGCAAAGACGATGACAGAGCAACGAGGTATCGGCGAGTGCATGACCGGCCTCCGTTTCCTGTACTTCTTTCCTGTAGTTCCCCTAGCTCATCGAGCTCAGCAGATGTTTCTGCGGGTCCGAAGGACGACCGCCAGCTCGAGTCGCAGCGCCGACGAGCTGCATCCACATCAGGCAACACCCAGGAGACACTGGCACACAACGATTTGACGTCAGTCAGTGCCAGACCACTCCATGTCTAGTTCCTCGCACACATACAGTCGATCGCAGATGCGGGATAATCGAAGTAGAATGACGGGTCCAATCTGCGTCCGCGTAGGACGTCACTATGCTGGACCCCGCAGAAGGTCTCGAAAGTGGCGACAGTTTCATGGGCCCCACAGCAGCCCTCGAAAGTGGCGACAGTTTCACAGATCGTAGCCCCCAGCGCTGGCGAGGTCTAATCTGAGTCCCCGTAGGACGTCACTCCGCTGGCCCCCCAGCAGCCTTCGAAAGTGGCGACAGTTTCACAGATCGCAGCCCCCCAGGGATGGCGAGGTCTAATCTGTATCCCCGTAGGGCGTCACTCCGCTGGGCCCCCCACGCAGCCTTCGAAACTGGCGACAGTTTCACAGATCGCAGCCCCCCAGGGATGGCGAGGTCTAATCTGAATCCCCGTAGGGCGTCACTCCGCTGGGCCCCCCAGCAGCCCTCGAAAGTGGCGACAGTTTCACAGATCGCAGCCCCCCAGGAATGGCGAGGTCTAATCTGAATCCCCGTAGGGCGTCACTCCGCTGGGCCCCCCAGCAGCCCTCGAAAGTGGCGACAGTTTCACAGATCGCAGCCCCCCAGGAATGGCGAGGTCTAATCTGAATCCCCGTAGGGCGTCACTCCGCTGGGCCCCCAGCAGCCCTCGAAAGTGGCGACAGTTTCACAGATCGCAGCCCCCCAGGGATGGCGAGGTCTAATCTGAATCCCCGTAGGGCGTCACTCCGCTGGGCCACCCCAGCAGCCCTCGAAAGTGGCGACAGTTTCGCAGATCGCAGCCCCCCAGAGATGGCGAGGTCTAATCTAAGTCCCCGTGGGGCGTCACTCCGCTGGCCACCCCAGCAGCCTTCGAAAGTGGCGACAGTTTCACAGATCGCAGCCCCCCAGGGATGGCGAGGTCTAATTTGAGTCCCCGTAGGGCGTCACTCCGCTGGCCACCCCAGCAGCCCTCGAAAGTGGCGACAGTTTCACAGATCGCAGCCCCCCAGGGATGGCGAGGTCTAATCTGAGTCCCCGTGGGGCGTCACTCCGCTGGCCACCCTAGCAGCCCTCGAAAGTGGCGACAGTTTCGCAGATCGCAGCCCCACAGGGATGGCGAGGTCTAATCTGAGTCCCCGTAGGGCGTCACTCCGCTGGCCAACCCAGCAGCCCTCGAAAGTGGCGACAGTGTCACAGATCGCAGCCCCCCAGGGATGGCGACGGGATAATCTGAGTCCCGTAGGGCGTCACTCGATTGGCCACACCAGCATGCCCCCCCCCTAAAGCCGGCGAACAGTTTAACAGATCGCAGGCCCCAGGGATGGCGAGGTCTAATCTGAGTCCCCGTAGGTGCGTCCCTCGATGGCCACCCAGCAGTCTCGAAGTGGAACACAGTTTCACAGGATCGCAGCCCCCCAGGGATGGCGGGGTGCGAGGTCCCCACCCCCGGGGGGGCCCGGGGGGTGGGTGTGGGGTGTGGGGTTAATCTGAGTCCCCATGGGGCGTCACTCCGCTGGCCACCCCAGCAGCCCTCGAAAGTGACGACAGTTTCACAGATCGCAGCCCCCCAGGGATGGCGAGGGGCAAGCTAGGTAAAAGGCAAGCGAGAAGAGGACGAGCAAAGAGAGGAGGAGAAGGGAAGCAAGAGAGGAGAGCAGGAACGAAGAGAGGAGGAGAGGGGGCGGGAGGAGGAGGAGGAAGGTGGAGACCACAGTGCTCTATTCAAAACGAGTACCCAACGCAGGAGGGTTGGGAAGTAGCCTGGCGAAGAACCCAACCATATGCAGTTGTCAGTACCGCAGCTGCGGGCTTCATCTTCAGTAGAACTCCCCATAGGACCACGGAGCGTGTGAGGGGTGTTCCGAGATGGGTGCCACTGGGGCATTCGGTGAAGCTCCCGATGGGGACATGTAACACGCGCGGGGCGTGCCGATATGGGTGGCGGAAACGCATGTGAGGGCCGCCACTGGGGCCTCCAGTGGAGCTCCCTATGGGTCCCCGAAACATGATGCTGCTGTGGAGGAGATGCCGGGATGGGCGGCAGAGACGCATGTAAGCGCCGCTTCTGGGGCCTTCGGTGGAGCTCCCTATGGGGCAACGAAGCGTGTGAGGGGTGTACTGGGATGTTGTGTGGCGCGGACGCATGTGAGCGCCGCCACTGGGGCCTTCGGTGCAGCTCCCTATTGGGCCACGAAACGTGTGAGGGGTGTGCCGTATTGGGTGCGGGTGGTGACGCATGCGGGCGGTGCCACTGGGGCCTTCGGTGGAGCTCCCTATGGGGCCACGAAACCTGTTGTTGTGAGGGGCGTGCCGGGATGGGTGGCGGGGACGCGTGTGAGCGCGGCCGCTGGGGCTTTCGGTGGAGCTCCCTATGGGGCCACGAAACGTGTGAGGGGTGTGCCGAATTGGGTGGGTGTGGGGACGCATGTGAGCGCCGCCACTGGGGCCTCCGGTGGATGATGGGGCCACGAAACCTGTGAGGGATGTGCCGAAATGGGCGTGCGGGACGCATGAGCATGTGAGCGCCGCCGCTGGGGCCTTCGGTGGAGCTCCCTATGGGGCCACGAAACGTGTGAGGGGTGTGCCGAATTGGGTGTGCGTGACGCATGGGCGGCTGCACTGGGCCTTCGGTGGAGCTCCCTATGGGGCCACGAAACGTGTGAGGGGTGTGCCGAATTGGGTGTGCGGGACGCATGCGGGCGGCAGCACTGGGGCCTTCGGTGGGGGCTCCCTATGGGGCCACGAAACGTGTGAGGGGTGTGCCGAATTGGGTGTGCGTGACGCATGCGGGCGGCAGCACTGGGGCCTTCGGTGGAGCTCCCTATGGGGCCACGAAACGTGTGAGGGGTGTGCCGAATTGGGCGTGCGTGACGCATGCGGGCGGCAGCACTGGGGCCTTCGGTGGGGCTCCCTATGGGGCCACGAAACGTGTGAGGGGTGTGCCGAATTGGGTGTGCGGGACGCATGCGGGCGGCAGCACTGGGGCCTTCGGTGGGGCTCCCTATGGGGCCACGAAACGTGTGAGGGGTGTGCCGAATTGGGTGTGCGGGACGCATGCGGGCGGCAGCACTGGGGCCTTCGGTGGGGCTCCCTATGGGGCCACGAAACGTGTGAGGGGTGTGCCGAATTGGGTGTGGGGCGGACGCTGCGGGCGGCAGCACTGGGGCCTTCGGTGGGGCTCCCTATGGGGCCACGAAACGTGTGAGGGGTGTGCCGAATTGGGTGTGCGTGACGCATGCGGGCGGCAGCACTGGGGCCTTCGGTCAGGCTCCCTATGGGGCCACGAAACGTGTGAGGGGTGTGCCGAATTGGGTGTGCGTGACGCATGCGGGCGGCAGCACTGGGGCCTTCGGTGGGGCTCCCTATGGGGCCACGAAACGTGTGAGGGGTGTGCCGAATTGGGTGTGCGTGACGCATGCGGGCGGCAGCACTGGGGCCTTCGGCGGAGCTCCCTATGGGGCCACGAAGCGTGTGAGGGGTGTGCCAAAATGGATGATGATGACGATGATGATGGTGTGAGGAGGGAGGAGGGAGGAGGGGGAGGAGGAGAGGAGAGGAGAGGAGGAGAGGAGAACGCGGGGCGACGTCTCTTCAAAACGAGGACCCAACACCACAGGATGGTTGGGAATCAAAGACATGCTCAATACATATATGTATCTGTATGTATAAATACGCCAAAAAAACATCCGCAGACTGTTCTTGGACGATGTTTGAATATTCCTCCTGTAGAGGGACAGGCCCGACTTCACAGTGCGCGTGACAGGCTAGCAGGAGCCTCGGGGCAGCGAGCGTCCCTGCATCGGCGAAAGTGCCAGGCGAGCGGGGGCCGACCCTGCGCGCGCCCAGCTGTCTTCGCAGCCTCCCTTTCTCCAGCCCCCGCCCCCCTCCAGGACCCCGCCCCCAAGCACGGCCTCACGGACACACAGATACACATCAACAGCCCATCCCAGACACACACAGATACACGTCCACGTCCACAGATACAGACCCACAGACACACAGATGCACAGGTACACACACGCAGACAGCACTGGCCCCCTCACATCCAAACACACACACACACACACACATCCACTCTAACACACACACACACACACACACACACACACCCACACATCCACGCCCGTCCGCTCACTCTCCCTCCGTCTCTCTCTCTCTCTCTCTCGATCTCTCTCTCTCTCGCTCTCGGTCTCTCTCTCTCTCCGCTGCTTGGGCACCCGACCTAGCTTGGAGCGGGTGGCCGCTGGGGCCCCACGTGTCAGGCGAGGTCCGACACCGGGCGCCCACCGCCATCCGACACCTGGCGGGAGCGGCCTGGCGAAGGCGGGGGCAGGCGGCCGAAGGCGTGGGTGGCAGAGGCGGTCGCCCAGAGGCCGACAGCGCAGCCACGGGGGCCGGGGTGGCGGTCGTCGCGGTGGTTGGCAGCGGTCGTCGTGGCTCTCGTCGCGGTTGTGCTGTCGTGGCTGTGGTCGGCAGCGTCGTGGTGGGCGTGGCTGTAAGTCGGGGCGAGCTGGTGTGCTGCCCCCTGGGGGGCGGGGCTCTTGCGGGCGCGCCGCCCCGCCCCGCCAAGCCAGAGCTCGCTCCCCCCGTTCCTGGGGGAAGAGGGCTGCCCCCCCCCCCGGCGGCTGCGCCTTCCGCTGCCCTCGACCGCTGGGCAACACACGACGCCGACGACGGCAGCACCGGCGACGAAGACGACGGACGATGCCGAGGACGACGACGGTGGCGCCGACGCCGACGCCGACGGCGATGACGAGGCCGAAGCCGACGGCCTCGGCGACGATGGATGCTCCTCGGCGGTTCACGGCCTCTCCAGCGCGGCCGTGAAGAACCCTGCCGTGGGCCCGGCTGGGTAGGCCCGCCTGCACAGGCGCAGGCCTGCGGCGTCCAGCCCGTGCCCGGGCCAGGCCGGGCCGCCGACGGCGCCGGCGGCGTCCCGCAGGCGGAGCCCGAGCTCCCGCAGCGCCCACGCGACCATGCCCTCGTTCTCCTGCACCGTCACCGTGCACGTGGAGTACACGAGCAGGCCCCCGGGGCGCAGCAGCGCGGCCCCGGCCGACAGGAGCCGGCGCTGGTTCAGCAACAGGGTCCTCGTGCGGCAGAAGGCTTCGGGCTGCGCGCAGACAGCCCCCCCAAGAAGACGGGGCTGGCCTCACCAGGCCCCCAGTAGTCCGGGGCGGTCTCAACACCCCAACCCAAGGGCACGGAGCGCCAAAGGGCGCCGCTGGAGGCGGCGCTGGGGTGTTGAGACCGCCCTGGGCTACTCGCGGAGCCTGCTTTGGCCAACCGGCACTACCTGCAGGGCCTGTTGTGACCTGTGAGGGGTGCTGTGCGCAGCCCGACGCCCTACCGGCTGGTTCAGAACCAAGGTCCTCATACTCTCGGGGGTGATCTCCGCGTGGGCGCCGAGCCTGGGGAAACCAACAGGTGCCGATACCGCTACTGCCCGGGACCTCTCCTGGGGTGCGTTCTGCCCAGGATGTCGAGGCAAATCCAGCGGTGGCGACGAGGACCTCCCAGAAGGCCCCCCAACAAGGAGGAAACGAGGAGGCAAGGGTAGCGGTATCGGCACCGTCCCCAGACCCCCGGCGTCATGATTTTGCACGACGCGACCCCCAGAGATCCGGACCCATTCCCCGGGACTGGTTCTTCATCCTGAGTCATTCTTTGACGGCCCCGAGGCCGGGTAAGGGCCCCCGGAGGCCGAAAATTGAGAACCTCCCGTGGGATGCACAAAGACATACTAGTACTATACGTTCCCCTTGGAGGCGCGCCCATCTTGTAGTATATCGTTTCCCGAGCGGTGTGGCCAGAAAGCGCCCACCAAGATGCATATACTATAAGATTTCTCGGTGCGCGCGTCGCCCCGGGGGGAGCGACGCACATATAGCATTAAGTATGCTGGGGTGACGCCGATCCCGCTGCGATTGTTGCACCACGCGAGGGGGTCTAGGCTTCCTCCTCCAATTTGGACGCGCGAAATGGGTACGGGAAAAATGGGTACAATGCCCGACAACAAAATGCTGTCCCAATTCAGCAGCGGTCGCTGCTGGGCAGGCGGCCTTCTGCCTCAAATGGACACAGGCCGCGGCGGCGCGGGCAGCGAGTCCTGCTCAAAATGAACAGGAACTGCTGTTGAGCATTGTACCCATTCTTTCCGTGCTTAGACGTTCGTTAGAACAGCAGGCTCCCCCACCTCTCGCAGCCTCCCCTCTCCGTGCCCCTGCTCCCTCCGTATACTTACTCTCTGCTCGAGGCCTCTGTAGCGAGGCCGGTGCTTCCTTCCTGTTGCTGTGGGCGGGCGGGGCCATAGCTCGCCCGCACCCATCTCGAGATCGTGCAGGCCCGAAGAGCCGGGGCCGCATGCCGAGCGCCGAGCAGGAAGGGTCCACCAGCACGGCGTCCCAGCTCCCAGCGCGCAGGCCCCGCGCGCCCACGGCGCCCCAGGCGCCGCCGCCCGCGGCCGCCTCGGCCGGCGAGAGCCCGTCGGGCCGCGGCAGGCTGGCGGAGTCGCCCCGCACGAAGCGCATCACCCCCTCGAGGCCCCACGACCTCGCCAGGTCCCGCACCTTCTGGAGCCGGCCCCGCTTCCTGGTGGTTTCGGGGAGGGGGGCCAGAAAGAAGAAGAAGAAGAAGAAGAAGAAGAAGAAGAGGAGGAAGAAGAAGAAGCGAAGAGCTCCACCGCACGACGCACCACGCCAGACCCGAGCATGCATCCCATGGCTGTAGCGGGAGCCTGCCCATCCCGACCAGCGCGCGCGCGCAACACTCCAGGGCAGGCAGAGAGGAACAGGAAGGAAGGCGCGAAGGAACAGGACGAGACGCCCAGGAACGGCAAGGCCGAGGAAGCGAGGCAGGCAGGCGACGGGCGACGAGGTTGGGACCCGACGCCACGAGGCAGCAGGGCGAGGAAGAGGAAGAAGAAGAGGACGGCAAGGCCAGAGCCGCCGCCGCCCCTGCTGCCTGTCGCAGGCGACCACGACGCAGCCCTCGGGCTGCTCCGCCTCGGTGAGCAGCCGCGTGGCGACGTGCGAGGCCTTCCCGCCAGGAGCAGCGCACAGGTCCACCACGGCACGGTGGCGGGAGCAGTCCAGCACGCGGGCGGCGCCCATGGACGCCAGCCCCTGCGCGTAGCAAAGGCCGTCCTCCTGCAGGTGGTTCAGCGCTGGCGGGGCATCGACGACCAGCTCCGTCATCTCCACTGCCACGCCCCTCCCGGGGCGCACCATCATCTGCTTCTGCGTCGCCCTCGCCACCCCGCGGCCGATCAGCACCCGGCGGCCGCGGCGCCGCTCCAGCGGGATGCCCTCGTTGTCGAGGCCGTCGACGTCGGAGGTGACGCACACGGAGTCCCCCGGCCGCACTCCCCGGGTGCAAGTGAGGACGCCGGGCGTGAAGACGTGAGCTCCCTTGAGCACGGCCTCCCCGCACCGCCGGTCGAGCACCACCTCGGGCTCCCCCTCGCGCGGGACCACGTCGGACGCCGGGCGCGGCTCAGCCACGAGGACGTCCTCCAGTGACTCGTGGGGCCTCGTCCGGACGCCACGCCCCAAGAGCTGCCTGGCGAGCTCCTTCCGCGTCACCTTCGCCGTGCTCACCCGCAGCGTCATGGGCGGGGGCACTGCGAGGGACCCGCGGACCTCTGCCCAGCGGTCGCCATAGCCAGCGCTCAGCTCCGCCTCCACGCCCGGATCGAAGCGGGGAGACAGGTCGCGTACCAGCGGCGCGCAGGACGGAGTCGGCGCGGGAGGGGCGGCCCTCTGGGACGCCGGGGGCCGGGGGCTTCTCAGAAGCCCTCCCGCCTTCCGAGAGGCCTTCTCAAAAGCACCCGCGGGCGTCTACCAGGAAGCCGAGGGCTCACGCGGCCAGACTCGGACGAGATGTGGAACATCTGGAGGCCGTGAGCTGGATACACATGCGGAGAGCTGGGAAACCTGGCCACGGAAGGGCCGAGAGCTGGAAACACATCGGGCCACATGCGTCCCCGGCTCTCGCCCAGGCCGGCCACGCCATGCGTATCCAGCTTCCTGGTAAGAGGCCCTCTGCCCTCTCATGATCCAGGCTGCGGGCCTGGGATGGAAGGGCAGCGATGGGGAGGGGCCTGCTCATGGAGGGGGGAGGGGGGAGACCTCCAGCTGGAATCGGCGATACATCGCCAACACTTTGGCGATGGGCCCCAATGGCGAATCCACACGGACCTGGGCGGGGCGGGCTAGAGGGCCTGCATCGGCGATGAAGGGACTGCCCCCGTGGCGCCCACCCCCTCCCGTGGCGCCGCCGCGCGGAGCCCCAGGGGCGCCGGGGCTGCCCTCTCGGGATCGAGGCTCCCCCCCGCTCCCCGTGGCGTTAGGTCGGGCATGTCCCTCTACAGGGGGACTTCGGAGGAGAAGTTGAAACAGATCCCAAGCAAGATGCAAACACACGCAGAGAGAGCTCCAAGAAAACTGTCCCCAGACCATTGCGTTTGCCATTCTGGGACACTCCTCCTGTGGAGGGCCAGGCCCGACTGAACCGCGGCGCCCACCCCCCTCCCGCGGCGCCGCCGCGCTGAGCCGCAGGGGCGGCGCGGCTGCCGGCACCCCCGCTGCGCCTGGGGGGGGGGTGCGGGAAGGTGCGCCGCGGTGTGCCGCCTGCGGGCCTCTCCCGGGACGCATGCTGCCGGGGACTCCCGGGCGAGCCCAGCATCAAGTCGAGCCTGTCCCTCTAAAGGAGGAATTTTCCGAAATCGTAAAAGATGGAGACAATTGTTTGAGCTTTTTTTCTGCGTATTTCTGAACATCTGTGGGATATGTTTAACTGTTCCTCCAGAATCCCCCTGTAGGGGGGACACACCCGACCGAAGCCCAGCCGCGAAGACCTCGGGGCCCCCTCGGGAGGCTCTGATGGGCGAGGGGTTTTATGCTGTTCCAACCTACGGTCGGACTCGATTGGACAGGACACGCGAGAGGACGCAAGACCCTTCCGAGGGCCACATTGCCACAGGAATGTAGGAAGCATGGGCCGCGAGACACAGGGCACAAGGGTACCCTTGATTTGGCAGGGTCGACCTACTAACCTGGGCCGACTGTACTTCAGCCTTGACTGCCAAAAAGAATTGCCAGCACCAAGAGAGCACCGACCCTGGAGGGTTCTCACGTGCCCGGCCCTGGGAGGCGAGACTCGTTCGACACTGCTTGGATATCTTTCTGGGTGGTGCTCGAAATGATTTCTGCGATGTGGGTCCTTGAATACGATGGGGGCAACGTAAGCGAGGGGGAGGAGAAGGGAAAACCCAACAAAGAAGCACACGAGGAGCCCAGTCTGGCTGCGAGAGATCTCGGGCGCACACTGGCCGTCGATATTGCGGTTCGCGAGGTGCTCCGGAGAGCGGACGTGCCCCCTTGGAGACATCGGGGAGCAAGAAAATTCGATTGGGGCAACTGCCGGCGGGGCAACTGCTTCTATTCGGCGTGGCTGCCGTATCGATCTCGGCATGCCCTTCTCTAGAAGAACAAACATGCACAAACAGAACTTGTTGGAGGTCCGCGTGAATTTCTTGGATCGGCGCTGGACACCGCCCCCTCCCAGACGCGGGAAGCGCGCCCGGGGCGGCGCCGAAAGCGCCGCAGGTGCGCGAGGTGCGCAGAGAGCCCTTTAGCAGAACATCCTTTAGTGAACACGACCCGGGGCCAGATCTGGCGAGTGAAGGCCCGCAAACACTGAGGCCACAACGCCCTTCCGAGAGCCGAAACATGCAATGCGCAAATCGGCTATCGGCCTGGCATGCACGCGCTAACATGGATTCGTTCAGGAGTCCACAGATCTGGCACGTGGGCTCCAAATCCGCGGATCGGATAAAAGAAGTTCCCCCCCAATCCCGCCCACCCCCCCTGGAAACATCATGAGGCCAGGGCGCCTGATGTGGCGACGGACCGCGCCGATTCTGCCCGGAAACGAGATCCGTTGCTAATCCACGCGCGTGCATCCATGTTTGCGCTTCTTCGTCCCTATCAACATCCGAAGGACTTTCGTAGGGACGTCACACAAGAAATCGGCCTGCCTGCAGGTGCCCACGGAACTTTCTGATCACTCAGTGGCCCCAGGGACCCACAGAAGCTCTGGGGCACCCTGGCCTCCTCAAAGATTACCGACGAAGAGTATGCCCCGCGATGTCCTGCAGCCTGCAGCAGAATTCCTTATCGTATAAAGCTGCTGTATGTACGCTTCGAACTGTGAGGAACCGGGCTGCACACAAAGAGCACCCCCAAGGTAGTCACGGCTGGCCTCAACAGCACCCCAGAGTAGCCTATTAAGTCGGCCCCGTCCCTCTACAGGAGGAAAATTCACAAATAGTCCCCCAAAAAAGTATGTGCCCATTTTTGGCATATTTTTTACTATTTGGCAATATGTATTGACTATTTTTCTTTTTCGTCGAAAATCCCCCTGTAGGGGCACAGGCCCGACTTAAGAGTAGCCCAGGACGGCCTCAACACCTCGACCCCGGGGCGCGGAGTACCCCAGGGGGCGCCGCCGGAGGCGGTGCCGGGGTGTTGAGACCTCTCTGGTCTACGCGGGGGGCCTGTTGAGGCCAGGCTGGACTACCTCTGGGGGGCTGCCTGCGAGCAGTCCCGAAGCCTTCGAAGTACTGTTACATCATCATTACTAGTAGTCTGCTGCTTTAGTAGCAGCATGATATTATGAATCCTGGTGTTTCCAATCGTGCTATTATGTTTGGTATACGAGTAGAGTAAACATTAATACGTCCAGTATTACTAATCGTATTACTACTCGTCGTATCATTACCAAGATTACTACAGTTATTAGTATCAGTATGGCCGTTGTCATTGTGAGCATGATGATTTAAAAGAAAAACTTATTACTGAAATGACTAGTGCTATTGGTAATATCATTAGTAGTCGACCCTCGTTGCTAGGACGACGTGGTAAGGACAGATCCTGGCAAATAAGTGCTGCACGAAATCACGAGGGAGCATTCTGACAGAAAGCATCGCGACATCAAATCAACGACACAACTTGGACACGCAAAACCATACATGTTTCATGATGGCGGAATATGGAGGACCACTTCGTGACGGCGACATGAGACCAGCCACGTTTTATCCTCAAGGGCTACGGCTCTTCCCATCGGCCCAAACAAGCGCGGGTCTGCCCGTAGACGAGCCGGATGGACGCTCCCTCGCTCGCTGGCTCGCTCACTCGCTCCTGGCCCGCGACCCCCCCGCGACCCACCCACCCGCGACCCGGCCCGCGACCCACCCCGCGACCCACCCCGCGCACACCCCCTCACTTTTGTCCGCAAGTCCAGGGTGTTACGTATATGTCTAGCCTGGGAAGCCAAAAGGTCCGCCACCATGCCATGAGGCACGAGCTGGAGTGTCCCCAGATCCTTTGCCTAATCCATTAAGCATCAGTCCTCAACCCTGAAGATTAATTCAGGGGCCCAGACCCCAAATTGCCACATCTCATGGGGCTCCTGGCGTGCCCTCTGGGGCCAGTCGCGGCTTGTCGCATGTCTTTTTCGAACCGAAGGGGGGCTCCAAGACGGACCAAGAGCGCTAAAAGGCCCCCAAGACGGTCCAAGAGAGCCCCGAATCGCCGAACAAACGGTCCAAGAGGCGCCCAAGACGGCCGCAAGACGGCCGTCTAGGGAAGCCCAAGAGGGGGAACACGACCCAAAAGTCCAAGCCTTCCGTCCCAATAAGAGCCCCCCAAGAGGCCCCAAGAGGCTCCCAAGAGGCCCCCACGAGGCCCCAAGAGGCCCCCAGGAGGCCCAAAAGAGATCCCAAAAGGCCCCCCAGAGACGTCAGACTGCCTTCAAGAAGCCCCCGAGAGGCCTCGACGAGATCCCAACGAACATCGATACCGTTACCGCTGCTCTCCAAAAGAAGGCGAAAGCGAGGCACGGGTAGCAGTATCAGTATCTGTTCCTCCCTGGACTGCAGCGGCCGTACTACCATAAGGGAGACCAACTAAGAAGCGAAGGGGCTTTATCTGGCCACGACGAAGCTGGGCCACAAACGTATTCTCCGACTTCGACCCCAGGAACGGCCCGAAAACCCGAGCCCCTTCTGAGCCCAGGCGTTCCTTGTTTCAGCGGCTTGACTGCACCTGCGCAAAGTACTCGGCTCTTGGGCGCGACTTGGTTGGGGGGTGGCAAATGCGGAGGGGGGAGAAAAGCTACCTTTCGGACCCTACAGGCCCCCTTTTGGGCCCGAAGGGGCCTCTGTAGGGGGCCCACAAGGGGCCCTTTTCTGCAGCCTCGCTGCCCCCACTTATCTAAGAGGACTCCTCGATGGGGTCCGAGTAGATGGGGTCGGAGGATCGCGCCACATCGCCGATACATCGGCGATGTATCGGCGATGCACCGGCGATGCATCGTCGACGTGGGCGATGCATCGGCGACGTCGACCTTAAGGAAATCGGGCTCCACATCGAGCCGCATCGCCGATGCATCGGCGATGCGGCGTGATCCTCCGACCCCATCCACTCCGACCCCATCTAGACGAGCGCGTTCCACTACTCGCAAAGTAACTACTCGCAAATGGCCTGGATCCGCGGCGGGGGCTCTACGACAAATTACCTCAAGGCAGACATGTGTTTTTGTCGGACGATTGCGAGTGGGCACTCTTTGCGAGTAGTGGAACGCGCTCGGTGACCATCTGGGAGGCCTAGGGCTCATTGCCCCCCCCTTACACGTCCTCCGACCCCCCCGAGTACTGGGCCTGTTTTCCACCACCACCACCACACCATAAGCTGGAGGGGGAGGGGTGGTCTCCTCCTCTCCCTCCTCCTCTCCTCCTCCTCCTCCTCCTCCTCCTCTCCTCCTCCTCCTCCTCCTCCTCCTCCTCCTCCTCCCGTCATCCTCATCCTCCTCCTCCTCCTCCTCCTCCTCCTCCTCATCCTCCTCCTCCTCCTCCACCTCCCCGCTTCCACTTCTGGTGGTGGTGGTGTGGTGGAAAACGGGCCCATCACCGAAGGCCTCCGGGCAGCGCGCCGCTGGCCAGGAGCCACTCCGCCGCGCAGGCCGCCGCCAGCGCGCGCCGCGCCGGCGCGCCCGCCGCGGCCGCAGCCCGGCCGGGCCGCCATGCCCACCCGGCCCCCCAGGGGGGCGCCGAGGCCGCGCGCGGCGGCGGCCTCTGCGCCCCTGGCCAGAGAGCGGCCACGGCGGAGAGGGTACGCCACGAATACAGACATAGATATAGAGATAGATAGATAGATAGATAGATAGATAGATAGATAGATAGATAGATAGATAGATAGATGGATGGATGGATGGATAGATAGATAGATAGATAGATGCCTCCCTCCCTCCCCTCCCTCCCAGATGCCGCCTCCATCTCCACCCCCCTCCCCTCTCTCCACCTATCCGTCCCCCGCCCCCCCCTCGCTTGACCTCACCCTTCCCCCCCCCCC